TTAGCATGCTAATCTTTATCCCTGTATCTACACTTTAATATATTTACAGTGAAATGCTGAATTTAAATACTTCATCATGTATATTTACATAAGTCTACTCTGAGTCTAGTCAAAGTTTTTATAATGAATCAGTGATTTATGATGTGTTCAGAGCCAATCCAAGCTAAAATTATTTCATTGTTCATAAACATAAATATCATGTTTTATTATAATTCAGCAAACCAAGAGATTATTCATGTGTTTTATTTACTGTCACAAAGCTTGACCTCATGACCTCGTGTGTTTTTCCTGTAGAGGAAGTGCTGCTGCTTCTGTTTTAGCTCAAACCTGAAACAATCGACCTCCTGATGAACACAAAGTTCTGCAGAGTGTGTGTGAACACACCACTGGGTGTGTGTGTGTTGACCGCTGCCTTCTTGTCTTGATCACATGCAAATCAGCTGTTATGAAATGTATTTCCTGCTCCATTTCAGAAACACTTTCCCACTCAGAAGTAATAAAATACACACATTTTGAAGCGATGTTCATTTATATTTGTCAAACTGGCAGATTAAGCAAAGATCAGAGTGTTTGGTTATTGATCTCTGTTAAAAAGGGAGAGGTTTTGGGTTTTCATAACTTTAGAGCAAAGATAAACTATGAAGGATTTTCCAGGATGTGATTACATGATCCTTACAAAAACATTTTATTCTTAGACCAAAAATAAACAATTCCTCTTCATTTCAGGTGAATAACTACAAGGTGAAAGTCCTGATACACAAAGAGTGAGTCAAGATTCCAAGATTTTACTAATAAAACAGTTTTTTATCAAGCCAGATAATTTAGAGGATTTTCTTTCCAGGCTGAGAGAAGAAAAATGGATGTACATTCAGGTTGGAAACATCATCAAACTGGAGAGCAACCAGTTTGTTCCAGAACTTTCTGATCTCAGATCTGGAAACAAACTTTAACTGAGACGTTACTGAAGCTTGATGTTCAGTTGGTCCAAATCTAAAGCTGGTCTGCAGAGATGACTTCAGGGTTTGTTTGTTTCTGCTCACCTGGAGCACCAGCCGGGTGGAGTCAGTCTGAGTTCCTTCATCATCTAAAGAGAACATTGAAGATCCTCCTGGAACAAATGGAGCTTTGGAAAGAAATCAGCAGGAAGTGAAAGAAAAATGGATCTTCATCACTTGTGAAGTGAACGACATCAGAGTTGGATTCAGTGGAGTCACATGAAGAACAGAAAACTGAGGCTAGAATAATAAACATCATGCTAAATATCAGCTGCAGCTAATCTGTCAGAAGAAGCTTCAGGTTGAATCTAAAGGAGGCTGAAGATCTCAAAGTGGATGAGAGGAAACCTGATGAGCTCTACAGTCCACTAGATCCAGATCAGAACCCTGGAGAACATCTACGCTGGAAGCAGAACCACAAGCTAGAAAATATCCAGGTTTCTATCCAACCTGAACACAGGAAGTCCTTTCTTCTTCTGCTGCAGCTGAGAAGGTCCTGCTGCAGAACTGGAGCCACACAGTTCCTCCACAGCAGAACAGAGGAGGTTCTGGAGGAGACCAGGGTCCACATCTGGACTCAGAGTTCTCCTGAGCTTCAGCAGAGCTGCTGGCTTTGGTTCTGATCCGCCTCTGTTCTGGTGTCTGATCTCCAGAGAGGATCTGAACCAACCCATCAGAACTCGGTGGAGGTGGTGGAGGATGAGGATGGGGCGCGGCGAGGAGGTGGAGGAAGAGCGCCGTGATCCATCTCTCTGCTGTGGAGACCTGAGGGAATCTGACAGAGAAACAGCAGCCTTGAAATTACAAACAACACTATTATTTAATAGTGTTGTTGTAACACTATTGCTGTTATTACATTATCAATGACGATAATGTTTCTCCAACATTGATGTTGAGGGCCAAGTGTTCAAATTAGTGATAGATTCCAGTTTTGACATCATATCCATTTGATTTGTTATTGATTGTTAGGAAATGCACCATGTTGAAATCATATAAAAGAAAATTAAGGCTGCCTGGGAAAATACGAATCACTCTGTTAAATTAACATTTTAATATGAAATTCAAAAGTTTTTGTGCAGACAAATCTGCAGGTTTTCCTTTTTAAGAAGAATATTCTAAGACTTAATGCGTCTCAAACTCCCTCCAAGCTCATATCTTTCTAAAAAGTTACTTGTAAATCAGTTTTGTCTTATTTTAAGTGTCCAAATGTACTTGAACAATAAACTAGACCAAAAATAAATGGTAATATTTTGTTTTCTCTGATAGTATCCACGTTTTAACTCAATATAAAGTCAGTTCTTGTAATTGTGGCTGGAGAAAGACATTCTCTACCTTTTCTCTGCTTTTCTAGCTGAAGAACAGCGCGCTAGCATGGCAGGCAAGTCCACTGCATATGCAAACATGTAAAACATGACTGCATATATGCCTTAAAAATAACTTTTAAAAAAACCACTGCACAATTATCTGAATGAAGCAACAAGACAAAACCTTTGTTGCCTCTTTACTGCAACTCCTAGTTTGAAGGAAGTGAGGAAGAGGAGGAAGTTAAAGAGGAAGGGGAGGAAATGGAGGCAGAGGTTTGTTGCAGTTGAAAGTGGTTTTTAACATCCTTCATTCTCCAAATCCAAAGTCATTTCCAAAGATTTTCCCCAAACTGAAACGAAAACATCCAACATGGTGGAGTTTTGTTGTCTGGTTTTATTCTCATCTGTGAGGATTTCCTCTTTAGATTAGCAGCATTTTCCCTTATTTCCCATAAAAGCGCCACTTTCACATCACCTTCAACTGTATTTTTTCATTTTAACACTATATTTTGTTCCTTTTCTAAACCATGTGTGATAGACTGAGAAGGATGAGGTGGGTTAAACATGTTATCTGGGATTAAATCACCTTAATATTCACCAAAAAGTCCAGAAATCATTTGGATTTATACAGCTCCTCCACCTCTTCAGGACAGTTTGACACTGTTTGTGTTTTTTATATCTCTAACAATTTTCTGACTCAAAGATGGACGAACCGTTTGAGAAGGTAGGCACAAGCAGAATATCCTAAATTAGATCCTTAATATGCAATTTCCCACTTAATGAGTGTCAAAATGGGGCATTTCATCCAAAATGTCTTGTTTTACCTCCCAACTTTCTGCCACATAGAGAGAAAATGCATGTGAGGATCATGAGGTGAGTTCATGCGTGTTACAGGAGGTGAACTGTAACATGCATGTTATTATGAGTAGAAATGCAAACTACACCAACAAGGTGTTTAACGGACTCGTAATGCAACCGTAGACTCTCAGGTGTTTTGTAGTAATTCAGCTTTAGAAGTAATTTAGCTTCCAGGTTCTGAGTCTCAGTAAATCCCAAAAACTTCCCAGTTTTATTTCCCTTTTCTTTCTCTAAAACCTTTTGTCAGCCTTTTGAACGTGAAGGTTTTCTCCTCCAGATGGACACGGAGGCCAGCGACCTGCTCAACGACCTGCAGGTTCGGCTCAACAACGTTCTGGACGACCTCAGCAGCACGTTTGGGAACAGGTACGCCGCCCTCACACCCCCACGTTTCCCCCACTTTTGTCCCAGTGCATCACTGGCTTTTCTTCTCCTGCAGCTTCCAGAGCCGCATCACCGACTGCATGCGGCAGATGGCGTCGCTGCTGTACCAGATCAAAGGACCGCTCAACGAAAACACCAAGAACCAGGTGGAGGGCGACTCGGACAACATGCTGCGGCCGCTCATGGACTTCCTGGATGCGCAGTGGGTTCAGTGGGATTTCCCCAAACACGGCTCGTCCGTCGGCGTGTGTGTGAAACGTCTTGTTTTTGCAGATTAACGCTGTTCGCCACGGTGTGTGAGAAAACCGTCCTGAAGCGCGTTCTGAAGGAGCTGTGGAGGATCGTGATGACCAGCCTGGAGAAGAACATCGTCCTGCCGCAAGGGAACGACACCTTGGTGAGTCTGACGCTCGTCTCCGTCACTGGACAGGTTCCATCCAGATGGTTTTGAAATGTTGTCAAAAAGTGTGAATTACATGACAAAAACACAATCTTACCAAATTTTTTTGATCTAGTTGTCAGTGAAACTATCGTAGAAGCTTATTTTAAGTCAATAATTTCTTAATATTGCTGATCAAATTTGATTATTGCACCTAAATCAAAATATTTTTGCAATGTTATAAGGGACATAATAATCAGACTAAAATCTCTTTTATATCAATAATTTTGTGCAAAATAAATATAATGAACTTATTTTGTGTAGGACGGATTATTTCACTTATAACAAAACATTTTCTCTTAAATTAAATAATCTGCCAACTACTTTTTTTTAATCAATATTAAGGAATTATCGACTTAAAACAAGCTTCTTCTTCTGATAAGTTACTATTAAGTTACTTTTGTCTTATTTAAAATGTGCTGAGATATTTTTAAATTCTAATTCAAACATACTTTATTGATCCCAAAAGAAAAGTTAAATGTTGTAATTCACATTCGTCAAATTTGCACTAGAAACAAGAGCAAAAATACTTGGTAAGAGTTTATGGTTTTGCAGTGTAATTTACATTTTCTTTTATACATTATTATAAAATTTGCTCAAAATTTGAATCACAGCTGGATGGAAACATGGCTGCCATTTTGAAATGGATCAACTCGTAATTGTGTCAGATGATGAGATGTAAACATTTTGACAGACGTGACCAAACACAAAAAATATTTTTATCCATTATGTTTTAAAATGATGACTGTGGCATATTCAGTTTAATTATTAGTCAACAAACTGAACATCATCCAATCACATATAGAGTAGATAAATAACTCACTTTATGTCTGAACATGAGTTGTATCGATGCTTTTTTTCCATTTCCATCAAACTTTACTAATATGATACTTAAAATTGAAACAAGGCTACTGAAAACTAAAAGAATCATTCATTTTTCTGTTTTTCCTGAAGGGAGCACAGATCCTTCTGCTGCTAAAGAACTGGGACACCTTTCCAAACTGAAGGTATCAGGTTGCCTTTGAGTTTGCTTTCTCCTGTGAATTGGTCTAGTCAAAGTCTTGGTTTGGGTTGTTTAGGATCACATGGCAGGAGACGCTAAAAGCCTGACGCCCAGGCAGTGTGCCGTCATGGATGTGGCTCTGGATACCATCAAGGTGAGAGCGAAACGTTGACCTCTGGTCAAACAGAAAAGTACAATTCATTCACATTTTAAGAGTCTTTAGTTGATTAACTAAAAGTCAGATTAACTCCACTTTAAGTTTAATCATTCAGGTTGTAGAACGCTGATTCCTCTCGTTTTGTTTCCTACGCAGCAATACTTTCATGCGGGCGGGAACGGCTTGAAGAAGACTTTCCTGGAGAAGAGCGCTGAGCTTTCGTCGCTCCGCCACGCTCTGTCGCTCTACACCCAGACCACCGACACGCTCATCAAAACCTTCGTGACCACGCAGCATTCACAGGGTAGATCCAAAACGCCTCCAAGGAGATTAAATACGGGAGAGTTTCAGATTCCTCGCTGCTTTTATCTCCTGGATTTGGTTGTTTAAGTTGCTGTCTTGTTTTTATCTCCTGCTGCCTCTGTGCCAGTGCACAATGGGAAGGGTATTAGGTTTACCCCTAATGAGAAAATCCAGCCCAGCAGGGGTAGGTCTCCATGAAATCATCATCAGCCCAACTTCCCTTCATTTTCTCTCTTCTGTTTTGTGAAACCTGCGTTTCCGTCGCGTGACTCTATAAAACGTGGTTTTCTTTGCATGCATTGGACCAAATGTTGTTTCTGTTAAACCAGGCTCAGGTGTGGACAAACCCATCGGAGAGGTTTCCCTGCAGATTGAGCTGTACACTCATCCCAAGAGCGGAGAGCGGAAAGTTACTCTCAAAGGTCCATTTGGGCTCATTTTGAACCAATGAAATCAAAGCTGCAGCATTTTGTGTCATTTCTGTTTAAATGTTTGTGTCATTGATGCAGTGATTGCAGCCAGTGATTTGAAGTGGCAGACGTCTGGGATGTTCAGACCCTTCGTGGAAGTCACGATGATCGGGCCGCACCTCAGCGACAAGAAGCGCCGATTTCAGACCAAATCCAAGAACAACAGCTGGTCTCCCAAATACAACGAGACCTTTCACTTGTAAGTTCAAAACCAAACGTCGTGACACATTTAGGATTTGAAGCTCTTTTAATTCTGACTTCATAAACTGTTGGTTACACAAAACAAAGTCCTTGTGAAATTACTGGACAATGTCAGCTAATGCGCTAGCAGCACAGCTAATTGTTCATTTAGTGTTTCTGCTAAACATTTAGTGAACTTCCTCAAATTTAACTTTTCCAAATAAAATCTGGATTTATTTTAAGAAATTAATTGTGTGGCAATAGTTTTAAAAGTTATAAAAAAAGCTAAAATTAGCTCTACTATTAGCACATTAGCAGCTTAATGGAAGTGTCCCTTCTACAGCAGATGTCAAACTTTATTCAACTGAAAGTCTGGAAAACAGCAAAAGTACATTAGTGCTTTAGAATTTAACTTGAAAACTGATTTAGGGGAATCAAAATGTGTCGCACAACAAATTTGTTCTGCTATTAGTGTGACTTCCTCCCCAATACACAGCACACAGTGGAGACCAGTTGGGTAAATTTCTGTAATGAGTGTTAACAATAACAAAAACACAGTAAGCCTCTCTACTGGTTCGCCAACTCTGGGTACACAGTAGAGTTTCTGACAGACTGTGTCCTACAATAATCACTACAAATACATTTTTATAACAGGTGATCGTATAGTGGATTTTCATTAATATCAAAACTTTCAAATAAAATTCATACAATACTTCTCTTATAAATCAATAAAATCAGAAAAATAAACATAGGCAGCAGTCAAATTTAACTAACTAACTATCCAACAGTAACTTCCAACTGAAACAGAACAAACAAACTGACAGACAGGCAAACAAACACAACTGACAACATAATAAACACACTGACAAACTTAACTGAAAAATAACCGACAACATAAATTTCTGACATTTAACATAATATAATTAGCCTACCTGTAAATGAGTTAACAATAACAAAACACAGTAAGCCTCTCTACTGGTTCGCCAACTCTGGGTACTGCAACAAAACTCCACGTTAGTCTCAGAACACAACCACTACTACTGCTCAGAAAGGAACTGGACTTGATGACCTACCACAGTAGAGTTTCTGACAGACTGTGTGGAATCTGCAGTTCTTCCTCCTTTTATAGGCAACCAGTAGGGGGCGCCAAAAAAAACTCATCACAGGACAACCATAAAACCCATACTAGCAGAATTTAAACTGAACCATTTCAACTATGTTACATACACCCCCCTTAAATTCTGCTAAAACAATACCAAACATCACCAAAGAAGACATACTACACTAAAGTAAAAGTATGATGAAGAGAGCACATAATAGTCACATCAGTTCTAAACTTTCCTTAAGGAATAATGTTAGCAAAAGTGAGGCCAACATGCTTACCAACACAGACCCAAAAGATGCCATTTACATCTTTTGATGTACAACATTGCTCTACAAACAATCACTGAGAAAAAAAAATCTAAATAACACAAATTTACCCTGCAATCTTGGTCTTTACAAAGGAAAACAGAGAGTCCACAGTTGACATTTAACCATCCACAACCTGTTCATTCATTTCACATATAAGTCTGGCTGGAGGCTTAACAAGCCTACCCGACTTAGTGCATAGCTGAGACGGCTGAGTGCAAACGACATCAATTACAGGCAAGTCTAAATTCGTGTCAGCACTATATTCGGCTGAAAGATCATGCTGAATAAGCTCAGAGTGGACAGCTGCAGTTGTAAGGTTGGGAACTTGTTCAGAAGAACTTGACAGTGCAGCAGATTCAGGGAGATCAGATTCAGGTAAGTCCTTGGTCACATCACTTGAGACAGGAAACAAAATGTCCACTGAAGAACCGCATACTGGAATGTCAGAACCACAGTCAGGGTGATTTCCAACTTCATCCATACAACTATTGTTGTCCATCTGCAAAAGCCAGTTCACAGATTTAGTTTCATTCTTCTGTACTTCATCAGGCACAACAGGATCAGGGGGTCCACTTCCTGCTGTGGAAGGGCACAGGGAATGATCCGCATCATCAGACATGGCAGTAGCAGTGAGAAAGTTGACAGGAAGGAGAAGATTTCTGTGGAGAACCTTTGTCCTTGATGTGACAGGGTCCCTGATGCAATACACATTTATATCAGGCTTCACAGACACCACTTCATACACTGTTGATTCCCATTTGTCTGCAATTTTTCTCTTCCCTCGCTCACCACGATTAGCAACCAAAACTCTGTCACCCACATCAAGAGGAGAACCTTTAGCTCTGCGGTTGTAGTACATTGCTTGGTGGACTTGTCCTAATGAACTGTTTTGTTGAGCAATGCGGGCAGCCACAGAGAGATCATGTTTGAGGCGGGAGACAAACTCATGATGGTCTACAACAGGGCCATTTGACAGAGCATGCTGGAAAACCACATCGATGGGTAGACGCGGGATCCTGCCAAACAGAAGGAAAAACGGTGCAAATCCAGTTGTTTCATGCTCAGTGCAATTGTAACAGAATGTTAGCATTCTGAGCATCTGAGGCTATCTTGCCTTGGACTGGGGAGGAAGTGCTCGTATCATGTTTCCTAAGGTTCTATTGTAACGTTCAACAATGCCATTCCCCACCGGGTGGTACGGCGTGGTGTGAGATTTTTGTATGCCAGCCATTTCCAGAAGTTCTTTGATGAGAAGACTTTCAAAATTTGCTCCTTAATCTGAATGAATGGGTTTTGGAAAGCCATATATGCAAAAGAAGTCATCCCACAGACGACGAGCAACTTGTTTGGCTGACTGATTTTTCCATGGAAGCGCATGTGCCATCTTGGAAAAGTGATCCGTTATCACTAGAACATCCACACAACGCTTATCTGGGAGCTCAGCTGTCCAAAAGTCAATACAGACCAGTTCCATCGGCTCAGAGGTGTGAATACTTTCAAGGGGAGCTCTGTCTTTGGGTTCTGGAGTTTTGCCAACTAAACATCGAAAACAGCACTTCACATGGTTAATGATGTCATGTTCCATCCCAATCCAAAAGAATCTCTGTCGGGCAAGAGACAGTGTGCGGGCCTGGCCCTGATGACCGGCTGAATCATGCACCCCTTGAAGGACTTTAGGTTTTAAAGAGTCAGGGACTATAAACTGTCGAGTTGTCATGTTCATTTGTTTGTCTTTCTTAACTCTATACATCAGGCCATCTTTAATGACAAGTTTAGGCCAATGTCTCAGTAGGTTTAAAACACCAGGTGACTCACTAGCTCGTTCACGTCTGGTGGGTCTCCTGTGTCGCTGCATATAATAGAAAAGTCTGCCCAGCACACTATCCTGACCTTGCAAATTAGCAAGTTCACTCTTTGGCATCAAGGCAGATTGATCAATGTCACTGAGTTGCAAGACAGCTGGATCAGTGACTCTCATCTGACTGAAACCTCCAGACTCCTGTGCCTCAAGAACAGCTGACACATCTTGTGATGTTAATAATGTCTGGGGAGCCAGTGAGGGCACCTCGGCATTGCCATCTGTGCACTCCACAACTAGCTGACAGTTGGTTGTAAAACGAAATGCATCTTGGACCGTTTTGTCCAACATACCATTCACCTGGTTAATTAGCGCGGTATACGGTTCAGTTACAATGCGATGGCTCATGCATGATTGAACAAATGGTTCCCTACTTAAGGCATCAGCAACAACATTTTTGCTACCAGGAACATAGTTCAGATCGAAATTATAGGCAGCAAGCCTGGAAACCCACTGTTGTTCACATGCATCTAACCTTGGCTTTGTTAGTATGTATGTTAATGGGTTGTTGTCCGTCCAGACTGTGAAATGACGCCCTTTTAGCCAGTGGCTAAACTTGTCGCATATTGCCCATTTAAGAGCAAGGAACTACAGGCGATGTGCTGGATAGTTAAGCTGCAAGCACGAGACAGTCCTACTGGCAAAATCCACTGGTCTAGCCACCTTCCCCCAAGAGGAAGCTGTGACAAAACAGCTCCAATGCCATCAAAAGACGCATCAACCGCAAGGATGAATGGAGCATTAAAATCCGGATGAGCCAAAGTAACACTATTTATCAAATCATTTTTCAAAGTTTTAAATGCTCCTTGCACTCATCAGTCCAATCAGATGGGGACAGTTAACTTGACCCTTTTTGATTCTGGGTTTGTTGCCGCGCCCTTTTTTCTTTGTTGCCCCAAGCTCAGCCACAAGGCTAAAGAGTGGTTTAGCTTTGACAGAGCACTTCCCGATAAAGTGATGATAATAAAGAACCATCCCAAGAAAGGATCTAATTTTCCTGGCACATGGTGTCTCACCATCAGACTCCATGAGATCAGTTTCTTGTACCTCACTGATAGCCTGAACTTTACTAGGATCAGTGCTTACACCATCCTCACTTATCACATGACCCAAAAATTTCACTGACCTGCGAAGGAAGTGACACTTTTTTGGAGACAGTTTTAAGTTATTTGCGGCCAGACGAGAGAAAACCATCTG